TACTGGATATAGGTTCTATGATAACAATTAGGTTAGTCAATAATCTGATTACAGAAGAAGGCCATTTCAAGTACCCTCTTCACTGTTCCTAGGAGTCTTAGCTGGGGAAATATGGTGATATTTTATTTGTACTAAAATGTAATTTTATTTGTATATTTATAAATAAGTTGCCTAAAGATCAGAGCTAAAAGCAAGCCATTTAGCAGAATTCCGGTCGTGGTGGCACATGCCCTTAATCCAATCACACCCCAGGCAGAGTCTCTGTGTGTTCAAGGACACAGCCAGCATGGTGACACATGCCTTTATTCTCATTACCAACCATAGAGACCTGGAGGTCTGTATAGACAGGCAGTGATGAGGAAGTCATATGGTTGGGTTTAGAGTCAATGAGAAGGCAGAAAAGAAAGGCAATTAAAAAGAGAAGTTAAACATTAGAAGTTCTCTCTCAGGGGAATGATAGCAGTGAGTGGTAAGCTAAAGGTTATTCATTAGTCCTCTGATCTCTAGGGCTTTTAATACTGTATTTGACTCTGTTTCTTATTTAATAAGGCTATTTAGAATTTTGTCTACAGGGCAATCCTTGTGAAATCCTGGGTATTTTCCTATCACCAGGTTTCTCCCTTGGCCATAAAGGCCCTCTCTATCAAGATATCTCTTTCATTGCTATCCCTCTCTGTCCCTCCCTAACTTGTCCATTTGATCCCTCATGTGCTCCACCTGCTTCCCCTCCCTTCTACATCCTCATACCCCAGTTTACCCAGGAGATATTAACTATTTCCCATTCCTGGGACTCTCCATATGTGTCCCTCATATAGTCCTCCTTTTTATCTAGCTTCTGTAGGGTTGTGGATTTTATGTTGGTTATCCTTTGCATCTAATATCCACATAAAAGTGAGTACATAACATGCTTGTCTTTTTGGGTCTGGATAAGCTCACTCAGGATGATTTTTTGAGTTTCTTCCATTTGCCTGCAAATTTCATGGTGTCCTTATTTTTTACTGTGGTGTAATGCTCCATTGTGTAAATGTACCACATTTTCTTTATCCATCTTTGGTTGAAGGGCGTTTAGGTGACAATTGTGAGTCTTTTTCTGTTTGTGGGGCTCCTGTCAGAGGGACCCTGGACTTTTACCAGGTACATAGGCTGACTTTTTGGAGCCCATCCTCTATGGAGGGACACCTTGCTCAGCCTTGATGCAGTTGTGTGGGGCTAGGCCCTGCCTCAACTTGGTATGCCAGAATTTGTTGACTGCCCATGGGAGGCCTTACCCACTCTGATGTGTGGAAGGGGTGTGGTATAGGGGAGGATGTGGGGGGTGGAAGAAGGGGATAGGGAAGGAACTGGGAAAGAATGTAAGATGAAAAAAATTAAAAATTAAAAGAAAACACCAATCCAAAAAAGAGGGGAAAATCACATTTAAATGAAGTGAAATTACAAAGCAAACAAAACAAAAGATTGTTTTGAACTTACAAAAAAGTGACAAGAAAAAAATGCAAAAACTTCAAAAATTTATCTTTTAATATAAAAAAGTGCTGGTTCTCATACTCTGTACAAAACTAGTCTAATTCCCTCCAGTGAACTGTCTGCTTAAGATAAGAAGCTTCAGCTGAGCACCTTAAAACCTTTTGCAAGAATGAAAAAAATGTCTACATCTCAAACAAAATAAATAGATATAATTAATGTAAAATGTACTTCTCCAGAGAGACCATTGGCAATTAGTGGTCATTGTGAGAGAGTCAGTCCTTTTTTTCAATGCAGTACCACTGATGAGTTGTCCATGCTCCACTGAATAACCTTCTTCCTGTTCTCAGTCAGGTAGTTTGACTAAACTCAATGGACCACACACCACAACAAAACCATGTCAGGGGAGGCTTCTTGAGAAAAAGATTTTGAATGGTGCAGGAGTGGAGTGCAAAGTAGGAGAATGGGGAACAATGAGCAAATGCATCACATGGATGTATGAAATGGTGAAAAAAATTCAAACATCCTCAACAACATGTATATATCATATCTCACCAGCAACAGATAACATGCATAGAGGTGGTTCTATAAGTTCCCTACTGAAGCTGTGTCTGTGGAGTTTTGTCCACCCTTTACCTGTGCAGTATGAAACATTTTCTCATGGTGAATTTTGATGTTATCTTCCATTAGAACTCAATGATACCCACCCAATGTGTAATACAACATTAGCCTGTGATATGTAAACAGAATTAAACCCCATGAATATGTGAAAAGGTTTTGTAACATCTGTTTGACATTGAAAATAAACAATGTCATACGTCACAACAGTGTTATAGAAAAGAACAAATGCAGAGACCATGACAGAAACAGTATTTTTATTATGACATAGCCGTTCCTCTAAATTCTCACAAAACACTTTTAATGAGATCATATTTTATATAAGTCTGAGGTAACATATTTAATGGACAAATTAAAAAAAAATGTCCCCTGATGATGAGAAAAAATGCAACCTGTCCCTTTTGTCTATCATGTACAGCACAGCACTTAAAATTTTAGCTAACACAGTCAGACAAGTAAAGTAAATACAGTGTGTGCATATTTGGAAAAAAGAGACAGGTTGTCAAAAATACAGTAAACAAAAGCTAACAAAGGAATAAAAATTTAATTTCAGACAAACATTATTTTTTCACAAGTTTTGTCTGAATGGATAGATGATGCAGAGCTGGTACGATGTATGAATATCGTCAAAATACATTGTATGAGATTGTCAAAGAAAGAATATAACACTATCTTTTATGAGAAACTATCTTCTGAAATGTAGAACTAAGGTTAATATTCATAATTAATGATTGCATCCTGGTAGATTAAGGGCATATACAAAACATTTCCTTTTGTATTAAACATCAATCAACAGTGAGATTTAAAATTACAAGGAAAACACCAACTCAGTGTCACTCTTGAACTGCTTACATGTGACCTTATCTTGGAATTTTGACAGTGATTGTGAATGGAATACATAACGCAGTTTAGTAAATGCCATGCTAAATAAAATATTTTGAGTGGAATTGTAAAAGGTAATGTGACTCATACAGGATCTGGATAGGTGTTCTAACTTCCTGAATTTTGTGGAGATATAGAGCCTTGAGGTCTGGCAATTGTCACTGTTTCGATGTTTGTTATTTACCAGTGTTTGAAAATAACAAGGGTGGTAACATGCTCTACTTCCAAGTCATGGCAACAATATCCCTCCTCTTTGTTTCCCACTATCATTTCCTTCAAGGCAAATATGAAGTTTTCTTAAAGAATCCTCAGATCATTCTAGTAGTGAACAATAAAAAAAATACTTTCCAGAGAGAAAGAGAGAGAGAGAGAGAGAGAGAGAGAGAGAGAGAGAGAGAGAGACAGACAGACAGACAGACAGACAGACAGACAGACAGACAGACAGACAGACAGAGTTTGGAGCATCATTTTATCCCACTCAATTCAATCTTGGTATCTGGCTTTTCCAATTATTTTTGTTGTCTGAACTGTGTTCTTATTCTCAGCGGTAAAGGAAAAAACTG